TAAAATAAAATAAAATAAAATAAGAAAGATCCAAACACTTTCTTGCTCTGGACTGAAACATGGCAAAAAGTCTCCAGCTAGAGGCCGACTTCAACATCTTCTTTTTTCAAAAGTTCTATTGTATTAATGCTTGAAAAATGGTTACTAGGCATTCATGCAAAGTATATTTTTGATTTTTTAAACTAATACACTTAGAGTGTTGTCAGTATAATACCCTGTGAAAGCCCATACTGCAGAAAATACAAAATAATCTTTATCTGTTCATGTAACATTAGATAATCTCATTTTAAAAATGCATAAGGATGGATTTACCTGATAGATTGGCTCTCCTTGCATCTTTCTGGACTGCAAAGTACATGGTGTCTCAGGAAACTTTCTAAAATAGGTTTTAGCAGTATCTAATCAGAGAGGAAGATCCAATCTATCAGTTAAAAATACTTCAGTGATTTTTGCAGAGGGTTTGTAGAGGGAGAAATCTTCTGCTCTTGGAGCAGCAAACCAGTGCTGAAGACTTGCAAAAAAGGTGTCTGGATTATTTAACTCCTCCTTAAAATACTGGAATTTAAAGTGTTTTAAACCTTTTTGCTGGTCTTCTGTGCAAGGGTAGATTTCACCAGCAAGGGGTGTAAGAGTCTCATAAGAACAAGATCCTGTACAAATATGAACTCAGTCTCAACATTTCTGTCTGTTTACATTCATTTACACTGCTACAACAGAGAGCAGTTTATGTTCCATAAAGCACTATATAACTGTTAAGTATTATAATTAAGATTTCTTTCACAGCTTTCCAAGAACGTCTTTTTCTCCTTTTAAAAATAAGGAAGCTGGCTTTATTTTAAAAAAAAACTTTGCTTAAAATGACGTTAAAACTTTTTTTACCTAAACTAAGGAAACCCAGTGAAATTAAGAGCCCACATTCAGCTAATTCTGAGTCTTTCAATTATTCTTTTTTTTCAGTTTGTGAGCATGTCAACTAACACCAAGGAACAAGCCTGAATTTTGAATTTCCTGGTTACTGTTACTTTCAGTTCAAAACTTCACATTTAAAATGCAATTTTAATTTTTTTTTTAATATATGCATTCACATACATGCAGATATATATATATTTTTCATATATATATCAGTTCATAAATCCAAAATTAAGTAAACACTGGGACAGTCCTCAAAGCCTTTATGCACTGTATAAAGACCTTTAAGAATTGACATCATTGCCATTTGATTGAAGTAGGTATGTACCAGCTATGGCTTTAACTAAAAGTCAAAGATTGAAGAACATTTTAGTTCCTCTCAAAGAAAAGCAGTAAGACCATTGGTGGGTAAATAAACAGAATATCCAGAGAATACTCCCAGATGTGGGAAGTCATCCAAAGTCTTTATCTTTTCCTTCCATACCATCTTATTGCACAGTTTAGTTGCTCACCAAATGCAGATTAATTTTACCTTCCAAAATGATCATGACAGATCCTTCTTGTGCCTCTTGCTCTGGCAGGAAAGAGTCAACACACAGAAGACAACCAGGTTGCAAAGGCACCACACTCTGTGTGACAGCATTGCCCCAAAACATGCCATGTTTGGACATGGATGCAGAGGGTTCAGAGGGTTATCTGGAGGGAAGGGTCATCCTGGGCATGACTTTTCCTTTTAGGGTGGGAAGGAGGGGACAGCTATTTTTAGTAGTCAAATAATTCAATCAATCAATCAATCAATCACTCACTCAATGGCAAAAAATATAGATATATCTCAACTGCATGGCCCTTTTAGAAAATTCACATCATAGAATGTTCACAGCTAGAACATAAAGCATTCTCAGAAGTCCCTGGGTACAGAAGAAGACAGCTGATCCCAGGTCTCTTGCCTGGAGTCCCCACACTGATCGGTGGTAGCTGGGCAGCTTCACATTGGCACAGCAGTTTCTTTAAGTCCACTGGGATCATCTGACCAAATCCAGCCATGAACTTAACATTCTGGAGGTCTTCCTCAATCAGCTGGTTTGATTAACCCAAGAACATTAGCTCCATCTTAAGACTCAAAAGAGAAACACTGCAAAAAATTCACATGCCAAAAGACAGGGAGAGGCTAAGATATGTTTGACTAGGAAAAAAACAACAAAAAAAAAGGCAAATCCAAATCAAAATGGAAATTGATTTGAAAAATACTGATGGTCAGGTCCATTCACAGAGTAGTATCAGTTTGGCAACCAAGGATCACAACTGCACAGCAATCACTTGTTACTTTTGACTGACAACGGATGACTGGCAGAGGCTCTGAAATGTAAATCACTGAGTGGGTGGTCGTGGCCTGTTCCTTATCTTTGAAACATTTTTCCATTAATGGCCTTGAGTACAGTTGGGTATTTACAGTGATTGATTGTTAAAAAGAGATATATACACGTTTCCTTTGCTTTATTGGGAAGGGGAGGGAAGGGAAGGGAAGGGGAGGGAAGGAAAAAGGAAAAAGGAAAAAGGAAAAAGGAAAAAGGAAAAAGGAAAAAGGAAAAAGGAAAAAGGAAAAAGGAAAAAGGAAAAAGGAAAAAGGAAAAAGGAAAAAGGAAAAAGGAAAAAGGAAAAAGGAAAAAGGAAAAAGGAAAAAGGAAAAAGGAAAAAGGAAAAAGGAAAAAGGAAAAAGGAAAAAGGAAAAAGGAAAAAGGAAAAAGGAAAAAGGAAAAAGGAAAAAGGAAAAAGGAAAAAGGAAAAAGGAAAAAGGAAAAAGGAAAAAGGAAAAAGGAAAAAGGAAAAAGGAAAAAGGAAAAAGGAAAAAGGAAAAAGGAAAAAGGAAAAAGGAAAAAGGAAAAAGGAAAAAGGAAAAAGGAAAAAGGAAAAAGGAAAAAGGAAAAAGGAAAAAGGAAAAAGGAAAAAGGAAAAAGGAAAAAGGAAAAAGGAAAAAGGAAAAAGGAAAAAGGAAAAAGGAAAAAGGAAAAAGGAAAAAGGAAAAAGGAAAAAGGAAAAAGGAAAAAGGAAAAAGGAAAAAAGAAAAAGGAAAAAGGAAAGGAAAAAGGAAAGGGGAAAGGGAAAAAGGAAAGGGGAAAGGACAGGAAAAAGGAAAGGAAAAAGGAAAGGGGAGACCTACACCGCCACCATAACTGTGATTTCATTCTTTTTCTTTTTAAAGAGATGGTTTTTGGTTTGCTCGTTGATTGCTTGGTTCTCCTTAGCTGCTCATGTCACTAGGTTCTCCGCATTTATGCTGGACATCCGAATCTGAGAGCTGCTCTTGCTCAGAATGGAGAGTTGTGTCCCCCCGTTCACTCCGCTGCTCGCTAGAGAGGGATGACGGTGTTTGAAATCCACAGCAAAATACCGGTTGACTTTCCAGCTCCTCCATTTTCTCTTTATTTCTGATTGCACCTTTAGGGAGAAACTTCAAAAGGTCATTTTTTATGTACTTAGCCGCTCGAGGACATGCTGACAAATTATCAAGATTAGAGAAAAAAAAAAAAAAGGCCACAATTTGACAGAATTATTTATAAGATTATTATCACACCCCTCACTTGAGTGACTTCTCCATATCTGAAAGAGGTCCAGGCATGCAGAGGCATCTACAGCCTGGGTTGTGTGTCTCTGGCTTCAGATAATTGAGGATCAGCTCAGAGGTGCAGAGAAGACCTGTTCAACGCTAACTCCAACCTGCTTCTTGAGCTAGCTTCTTGGAATAAAAAAATCCTGTTTTCATCAATGGTCACTACCAAAGACACAAGGAGCCAAAGAAATCAGCAACCAGAGGGTGTAAGACAGTAACGAGGCAATGTGTCCACACAGGCAGCTTGTCTCTCACCTGCCATTCATGGAGGTATGTCTAGTGAAAACTTTGCCTCCTGTTTTCAGATCACCTCTAGAGCAGCCAATAGCTCTTGGATTAACATAAACCTGTGACACTCTCCACTCCCCTGAGATTTTTTTCATGGGTACCCACAGTAAATCACCAAGAAGAACACAATCCATGATCAGAAGTGTAATTAGAAAACAAGCAAATAATTCTATAGCCTTTCTACTTTTTATTCATAAGCAATTTCCTGGTGATGCTGCAAAAGGAAGCAGCAAGTGCTCGTGGTGGGTGAGTCTCTGCTGACAGGCACTGAAACACTCATCTGCCTGTTTGATATGGAGTCAAGTGAACTTTGCTGTTTGCCAAGAACCAAGATCCAGGAAGGCACAGAGAGATTGGCAGAACTAGTTGAAAGTACAGACCAGTATCTCCTATTTCTTTTCCATGTGGGCATCAATGATGTGGTAACGCAAAACCTGGGCGTGGTCAAGCAGGACTTCAGAGTCCTAGAGGCACAAGTGAAAGGGACAGATGCCCAAGTGATCTCCTCTGTCTTGAGGGAGATTCTCTTCTGTCTTGACTTGTCTCAGTCAGAGTTACGATATTACAGAAAAAACAGAAACTTTGTGGGAAAACTTACGTGACTGGAAGGCCAAAATGGATAGTTACAAACTTTTGAGAAGTTAGGAAGGGAAAAAGAAGTGGTGGAATTGCACTTTATGTAAAACAGAATGTTAAGTCTATGGATATGAGTTATGGAGACCATGAAAATTCTGTTGAATGCCTTTGGATTAGGATTAGAGGAATTGTCACCAAGGGGGATTGTTTATTAGGTATCTGTTGCCAGTCTCTCGATCAGGATGATGAGGCTGACAAACCTTACTTCAGGTGCTTAAGGAAGCCTCAGGACAGCAGAACCTGGCTCTCATGGGTGACTTAAATTACCCAGATGTCTGTTGGGGAAACAACACAATGGTACACAAGTTCTCCATCAGGTTCCTGGAGTGTATTGAGGATTGTTTCCTGCTACAGATGCTGGGAATATCTAACAGGGATTTACCAAAGACAAATCATACCAGACTAACCTTGTCATCTTCTACAACAAAATAACATTTTCTGTTGAGATGGGGAGAGCAATGGATGTTGTTTGTCTGAACTCCCACACAGTGTTTGACACTGTTTCCCACAGCTTTCTCCTAGGCAAGCTGGCAAGATATAGATTGGGTGGGTGATCTGCTAGAGGGGTAGGACATGGGCTAACAGGCCACACTCTGAGGCTATTGGACTATTTCTTTCACTCAGACTGGCAATTTGTCACTAGTGGTGTCCTCCAGGGATTAATACTGGACCTCTCAATGTTCAACATCTTCATAAATTATCGATCTAGATTATATGATTGAACCCTCATCAAGTTGGCTGTTGACACCAATCTGGGTTGTGAAGTAGGTGTGTCAGAAGGAAGATTCATCTTATAGAGAGAAATGAACAGCCTGGAAGTGAGCTAGCAAGAACTGCATGAATTTTAACAAAGAAAACTGCAAAGTTCTGCACCTGGGATGATACAACCAAAGAGACCAGTACAGTCTGGTCCTACCTCTGTTAGAGAGCACGAAGCTGAGCCATCACCTCTGGCAAGGCCAAGGTTTTGATTTAATAAAGATGTCACACATCCTCTTTCATTTGCTGAGACACTGTGAGATTTCAGTTTAAGTTGTTAGGGAATATGGTAGATGATGAGTTACAGTGAAGGTTTAGGATAGCAGTTACTCCCAGAAGGAAATGGAATGGTGATGGATGTGGGAGGCTAAATAGTAAAAGTCTTACCTCCCCATTCAAGAAACAATAGAGAACAGCAACAACAAATCCCTAGGTAAATGGGAAAGAAAAAAGTAATGTAATTCAAATCCTTCAGTAAATACCAGAAAATAGCTGGAGTTAAAACAAACAAACAAAACCAAAGTCCTAGTATAGAGAACATAGATATAAATTGATAAACACACAGTCTGAGAGCTGTGCATGCAAAGTAGTTATAATAAGCAGAGACTTCTTTGTAACAAAAGCAGAATTCACTGTATAATCACCTGGAAAGATCCCAGTCCCAATTCAAACACTAGTCTCTCCCTCTTACTGACATTTTCAGGAGAAAAAGCAAACACCGTGTAGTGAATTCCAAACAGGGGGATAAGCAGGAGTGTAGAACGAGCCAGTCTCCTGTTACAACAGAGGGAAACAACTTTAATGCAGCCTTGTAATAAACAACTCATGCCTTAATTCAAGAAAAAAAGCACAGAAAAATATTTTGTTGCCTGCCTACTGGGAAATTTATACACTGTATAATTACCCGAACAAATATACAACATTCCCATTTGTTCCCAAACAGTGATTTCACACACACTGTAGTTTGCTCCCACTTCTTCACACTGCTACAATAATAGGGCATTAGTAATGCTTAATACTCTGTGCTGTTATTTTAATTTGCATTATTATAAGTAGGGATTTTTTTTCTCCCATGCCAAACACGAGGAGGATAATCTTGCTAAGGGATTCAGACTATTCAATTCATTCAATTCAGATAGCACAATAACAAACCTCTCACCCATTCGCTTAATCCCAACAGAGTGTTTGAATTATTTTTTGAGTGTTTGTGTGTGTGAATTTATTTCTGCATAGCAAAAAAAAATCCAAACAACAATACAAATAAAGCTAAAAAAACCCAAACCCTGTATGTCCTTATATTTGTGATTATTCTTCAAGGTCTTGTTTTTGTTCTCATTTATTCTATTGGAAACCTAAGTCTGGTTCCATTGTATAACTAATTTCCAGTGCATGAGAATAAAGGGGTTTTAGAGGGAAATCCATCTCAGCAGGTATAAACAAAAGGGCTGGAAATGAATGTGTGTACCTGTAAGCACTGAACAATATGGATGAAATTCCCCAAAAGCAGGGATCCAGCTAAGACCTATACACATTTTGGTGAGTGTCGTTTGCTGATAGAGCAGCAAAAAAAGACCCAAGAATAAGCAAATGTTGATCTGGAAATAAGGCAACTGCTTTATTATTAATAAAGTGGCTAAAGTAACCTCCAGAACATTTTCACAGGGGAATAAATAGGACTGATTTCCTTAAGTTAAGGAGGTAGAAGGAGGACTAAAAAGAAGCCATAAAGATTTTTGGAAGAGCAACTTACTTTTTAAAAATTAAATGTTTTCTCTACTTGCACCTATATGGTATATTGCAGGCACTTTTGAATTTCCTAATACATGCTCAACATTATCCCCTAATTGATGTTTGTCTTACTGAAAGTGAAGAGTTAATTAATACATCTCAAAAAACTCTGTACACATTGCTGTTATATCCAATACTAAACTGGAAATTTGGCATCAATTCATTGCTAGTGTCCCAGTCATGCTTTATGCACTAATGAGGATAAATACATCACAACCCTTGCCTTAAGACTGTGTTAATCACACATGATTCGTTAGTCCCATGCACACCAAATCTCAAACCTTGGTGAAAGACCCCACAAACTAGAGGGCACAGTTCTTGTGAATTATCAAGTTAGACGTTGACCAAAAGAATTTGTTTTAAAAAACAGAGAAACAACATTGGAACAGGTTGATGAAGAGCATACAGAGTCTCCAGCTCTGGTGATTTGTTGTACAAAAAAGGCATTTCCTAGTGTAATGGACTAAAATACCTTTCAAGGTCCCTTCTAGTGCTTTTTCTTTATGGACATATAATCAGATTAATGGAAAGGAACAGAAACATTGTGGAAAAGACTGTAAGATAATACTATCTCTAAACAAAAAAGGATGTAAAGAACATAAGTATCTTAAAGTAGCCATGAAATTTTAAAAAAAAATCAAATAATGGCAATAACCTGGCTGAAGAAGTATCATCTCTCAAAATCTCTTACTCTTTATATTCAGAATTAACAACAAAACCAACAAAGGGTTAAATTTTATTTTGACTTAAAAATCAGAATCTATTTGTCTTTTAGTATATTTTATCTCACTGCATTCATAGCAGATGAATTTTGGGAAGGATGCCGAGGAAGAATTTTTCTGTTGTTAGTTTTATGGCATTAATTATATCTGATTAATCACACAATTAGTTTGTGGGATCTTGAAATATAATGCCATCATCAATTTATTTGAGATGCTGTCTTTAATATCGTCATAAAAGCCAGGAAGAAAATGCATGAAATGTAAGAAAACATTCTGATGTTTACAGATTGTTAACATATATAAAGAGGAAAGGCAGATTTTAATGATAAGAAAAACTAGAGAAATGCTGGTAACTGTGGATGATGATGATTTGTGGTTTTTTTTCAAGAGCATTAGGAAGAAACACTTAAAACAGCACCTGTGAGATGTGTAAGTTTATAGGCAGTGGTGAAAAGAAGATGTTGAAGGATACAGTGAAATTATCTGGAATATAACAGCTAAGGACATTCATCCTTTTTCCTCCCCACACTCTTTTAGACAAGCAAGAATCTCAGGGGTCAGATCCAAAAGTTTTGAAGAGAATAACCAATCAGTTGGGCTGAAACTGGCTGTGTAGAAAAGTTCTCCAACAAGCCCAGCAAAAATCTTGTTTACATTCCAACAAGTAGAGGAATGTCTTAAGGTTTATGTTTAGAAAAAAGCAAGTTTTATTTCAATGTTTATCAAGGCTGATCTGTTTTCCAGTTGTTATTTTCCTTAAAAACAGCTTAAACATGTTACTTTCTCCAACAGCATGGCTATGAATGTGGCCTTTCTACAAAGTCCTAGTATAAAAAGACACAGATAACTGTGTCCTCTGTTTATTTTCTCACTGCTCTATTGAATTATGGAATGACATCTTTATAGTAAAAGGAACAGAAAGTAGAAAGGTTATCTAATTGTGATGAGTCTCTGAAGAAGCCATGTCTTTGTTTTTCCTTTGCAGATCCACACTCAAGGCTGCTGAAGTGTCTATGGATTTTAGATAGGATGTAACTGGGCATGAATTGGAAATTAAAATATACATCACATTTCACTATTGAGCAGAATTTCCAGTGATTTCTATTCAATGTTGCACTGGTTTTATTCCTTTTTTTAAAGCAGGTTTCTAGAAGGTGGATTAACACTGTGGTCTAAACAAACACCACAACTATACATCAGATGAAAAAAAAAAATATATATACTTTGAGCAACTGTGCAATAGGAAACAAGGCCCAAGGGGTTCTATATGGTTTAAAGAGGTTCTCTGGCAAAGAGGTTGTTGCTTTGGTCTTAGAGATTCTCACCACCCAACTTTCTTGGGACGTAGTATCACAGACTGTCAAAAGAAGCAAAAAATCTTCAAAGCCTAGCCTGCACCTCTTCCTCATCTCTTCCTAAGGAAGACTTTATCACCTCCTAGGGCTCTCCATTGACTACAAAAGGAATCTGGACTGAGCTTGTCATTTAATTGCTGCTCTGTTGCCTAATCTAATCTGGTTTAGATTAGAGGAATACCATCTCTTTTGCCTTAACTCAGTGATGAACAGGTACAAAAAATAATCTTTATCACATCCTAGGGCTCTCCACTGACTACAAAAGGAATCTGGACTGAGGTTATCATTGCTGCTCTGTTGCCTTGTAAGGTTTAGATTAGAGGAATACCATCTCTTTTGCCTTAACTCAGTGATGAACAGGTACAAAAAATAATCATGCTAATATTTCAAGTAGAAGGATAAAGAGCAAAGCATGAAGATATAGGATGCCTTTAGTAATGAAATGCTTAATACAACTCATGTTTAATAAATCAAAGTATCTATTCTAGGAAAATGATGCTAAACAATTAACATGTGACTTTCAGAAACCTCAGTAATCTCTGACACATACATGTCTTTTCCAAAAGCTGAAGTACATCTGTAGGATCAGTTTTGAAGACCTGTGGTAACACCTAAACACAGGAGCTGATTACAGCTTTTTCATTTTCCCATGCATAAATCACATCTTCAGACTAAGGACTTGAAAAACAGTGGAAGATTACTGGGACTTTCATATTTTAACACACAAAATAAGGTAATATTATTTATAAAATAGAACATATTTACTTAGGTTATGCTATTCTTTGTTTCTTTTATCTGCTTTTGCAGAGTGTCACTCTGCTGACTAAATCTTTTGAGCATCTTCATTGGTCTATTTCTTAAATACCTTGATATGTAAAATCCCAGAGAAAATTTGTTTTCATGTTTTAAATCTCTTTTTTTCTAGGTACCAAATATAACAACATATGCTGCTGTAAGTTACAAACCATTTTTCGTTAATGATGTCAAAGATAACTATCAGTAAACTAGCAGAAGGTTGGACTGTTGGATCTGTGTGGCAGGACATCCTAAAGAGTGTTGATTAGTCTGCTGTGAAAGGGTAAAGTCCATCAGGAAACATATTGCAGAAGAGATTCCTGAAAGTTGCACCTCACCAAAACGGATCCTGTGGGCTTGTCCAAGTCACAGAGTGAGGTGCACTGTGAGAAAGTGATTAATTCACCCATCTCTGGGATAAATGGCATTTAGTCACTTTTCTAGATGTCTCACTCTCCATAGATAGAACTTTAACAATGGTTTCTGACTCAACACATACCATTTTGATACCAGGTTAACCTTAGTCTTTCCTCACCCCTGAGTGCATGCTAACACAGCTTCACTCTGCTCAATGGACATGAGAAGTTTTAGACCATCTGAGAGTCTGACTCACTCAATCTTGCCCTGCCCCTGTTTTTCCAGCAATCTTTCAGGTGAAAAATTGACTTTCAGTATGACCAGTGCTCACCTATTTGCTGTATAATCAAACCCAACTATTAATAGTTTCTACGCAGACACTACCCAAAACCATAAACAGCATCAGCCACAAATACAACTTTTTTTTGTTTGTTTTTAAAAATAACCTTAAAATCCTTGATCATGGCGCATCAGCAAAAGCAAAGAACAACAAAAAAATATTCTACATGCAACAAGAACTAAAGGAACTCTTGCTTTCTGGTTACTACCCCTCTTCTAATATCCATTCATTTACTTGCAACATGCGTCATACAAACACAGTCACGTCACAGGAGGGCGTACACTTACAGGGTAATGGTTGATAGTTCTGACATCTTGCAAGAGTGCTGGTTAGCCCTCTTGGGCTTACAGTAGCATTTCTGAACGCAGCTGCTGAATATGACAAGGTTAGCATTTTTTTCAGCATATTGGGAACAGG